AGTGTAGATTTTTTAAAATAAATAATCTATATATATGTTACGGCTAAAGATAGGTGTGAACATAAACTTAAGATTAGCCGGCTAAACTTAAGTTTATCTTCGACGAGGTGTTAATGTTAGTTTCTTCTATCTTTAGCCGGCTAAACTTAAGTGTAACCGCAGGCCCCTGGCTAAAAATGTAGAAGGAAATGGAAAAGGAAACAATGTAATAATGTTTACTATTTTGACACGAAAACTTTATTNTTAATAAAGGACGAGGCGTTTCGAATTGATGGTGAGCGATATAAACCTAGTATAGTAGTGTTAGAAATGGTCAATTGAATACAGGTAGCGTCATTTATTTGTACTTCTTTAAAATTTGGGTTTAGTTTAGATTTGGCGTAAATCACCACGCCGTCACATTGGTTAGAGTTGTGAGTGGATGCGAAGTGAGAATAATAATTTAGCTGTGGGACAGGCTTGCGTGGGTTAAGATGACATTCGCTAAAAATTATAACATCAATTTCCTCTATTAGATTCGAAAAAGTAGCACTAAAGTTGTCAAGATTGCAATAAATGCTCCTTATATTCTGCTGAATTATAGTTAGATTACATTTATTAAAATTAATGTGACTGTTAAGATCCTGTAGGTCACATTTTACTGAGGGTGCAATAGTAATATCATCAAGTTCCTTTAAGTTATTAAAATTGTTCATCATGTATGAAGTTGTAGAAGCCGCGGTCGTCGAGCTGAATTAGAAAGTTTGTAATTAAGAAGTGCAGGAGGTATGCTCATATAAAGGATGTTATAAGTTTGGTACGATATAGTAGCGTAAATAAAAGTGAGTTTTTGTGTGTGTGAGAGTATATTATGTGTTTGTGTATGAGTAATGAGTATATTATGTATGGTGTGTGTATGTGAGTATTTAGATTTATAGTTTATGATCAGATTAAAAAACGGTGTGAGTTTGTAAAGTGTTAACAGTGAGATTAGTAATACAAAATTACATAAGTAATAAATGAAGTGCTTGCTTTCATAAGTAATAAAATTGACATTATGGACGAGGAAAGCATCAGTCGCATCTGTGTTACTGCGTTTACTGAAAGTGACATTGTGACTGCAAAGCGGCTACTCTACGAGTCCTTATCGAAGTCAATGAAGACCCGAAAACGCGAAGGGAAGACGCTACGTGATATTGATGATATTCTCTGTACGCTGAAGGAAGCAGATCCTGAAGTTCTACCGATCTTTGTTGCGCGGGAGTTGCAAAAACTACCGCCGGTTCTTTTCGATCATGTCGATGTAACACAGATCCTAAAAGACCTAGTTAAAATGCGTGAAGAAATCAGTAAAATCTCTCAAGGCTATGTGAGTAAAGAGCAGCTAGATTTATTGAAACAGGATGTTGACAATCTTAAAAAGGCGTCTATTGTTAATAACTTCTCTCGAGACGTTAACCCAAAGAGAGGAGCCTGTTTAATAGACAGCTTTGAATACAACAGTGGACCTATGGGTTTTCATCCTATTAGTTGCGAAAAAGATTTATACGTAAGTCATTGCTCATCATCTTCGCCAAATTCAAAAACCCGTTGCCAATATCAGCTTGCAGACGGGGGTAGAAATGAAAATAAGTCGCCGGCCGTACAGCTGTTTAACGAACCGGTATCAGCGCGCGTCATCGAGTCAGCGGAGAGCGGGCCGACCCAAGTAGGCATCGTACCGGCAGCGGCGAGCGGCCGCGTGACTCACCTCGACGCGTCAACTATTATACCTGAGCCTACACCGCCCGGGCCGTGCTACAATGACCGCATATCTGAAACTAATGGAAAATCTTACACACAAGTTTTGAAACAAGGTGAATGGAAACCACAAACAAAAAGTGAGTCGTGGACACTAGTACAAAAGAAAAGATTAAGGAATAGATTTGTNTTTGACACGAAAACTTTATTAACACGTTCCGACGCTGTACTCCAGTCCACTATGACACTAACAATCTTCATAATGTTTCATACACCTATACCCGTACTGTTGTTCACAATATTTTGCAACAACAAGTGTGCTCTCTATGAAACTCTATGTAAAATCGACGGTTGTTGCCGTAGTGATTTTTAGATTGATTTTCGTAAAAACGGCGAGACCCGAACTGCCATAATATGAATGAATTCCACCTTTACTGTATATGCCGTTACCGCGGCGGAACGTGTTAAAAAATAATCACTTTCATTACATATACTTTTATGTACCTATGTACATTGTACGTATTCAAAATTACAATTATTACAATAACAAAATATTAATTACTTAAAACAATATCTACCTAATCATTAAAATAAAATAATAAGGAACCATTTGGTCATTACAATTGAATCTTCTGTAGGTATTTAAAATTACAAAATAAACTGCGCGCGCGTTCTTCCCCCACCGCCCCCTCAAGCCCTCCGCCGGCCAGGCGCGCCCATCGAATACATTTTTAGCCGTTTCGTTTTGGCTAATGTGCACATTAGCCGGCTAAAGATGGAATATCACGACGCAAACTAACATGTTATCGAACTTTAGCTGCTTCTCGAAGATAAACTTAAGTTTAGCCGGCTAATCTTAAGTTTATGTTCACAACTATCTTTAGCCGTAACATATATAAAAGAAAGTCGTGTTAGTTACTCCACTTATAACTCAAGGACGGCTGAACCGATTTAGCTGAAAATTGTCAGGGAGGTAGTTTAGAGCCAGGAGAAGGACATAGGATACTTTTTATCCCGTTCGAAATTTAAAAAAGAAGTCTGCTTATTTATGTAACAGAGAGTGACATTCAGAGTTACATAAAAAATAAAACTGAAGTGTCCGTGGAGCTGGAAAAAATGAATATGAAGACAAGAAAAGAATATGATTCTTACAAAGTTTTTGTCCCGAAAAGCAAAATATCTGTATTTTTACAAGATGAATTTTGGCCAGAAGGAGTTGCATTCAGACGTTTCGTAGATTTTAAAAAGAAAACCAGAGTGCTCAAGGAACAAATAGGATCTCAAATAAAAATTTGATGGCAGCCACAACTAAACTAATAAGTTTCAACTGTAAAAACTTGCATCGGTCGATCGACTGCCTGAGGTTTCTCTGTCAGACTGCGGACATCATTGCCCTACAAGAAACATGGCTCTTACCACATGACTTGCCATCTCTGGGGACTATTGATGACAACTTCGCCTTTACTGGAAAATCAGCGGTCGATACTTCTAAAGGTATACTCAAAGGGAGACCGTTTGGTGGAGTGGCACTATTGTGGAGGAAGTCTGCGTTCCCGTGTGTGTCAATAGTGGAATGCCATAGTGTGCGTTTGGCGGCTATTAAGATTCTCCTTGGCGGTGGCAAATCAGTGTTAGTGATTACTGTGTACATGCCTACTGACTCGGCGGCTAATCTTACGGACTTCGCGGAGTGTATGGGTGAAATAAGTGCGTTAGTTGAAACAAACAATATAGAATCGGTATTCGTATTAGGGGACTTCAATGCACATCCTGGTGAGCAGTTTTCGCATGAACTATTGAACTTTTGTACTGAACAATCGTGGTCGTGTATTGACATGGAGTTTTTACCTACTGATACCTATACTTATGTGAGCGAGGCACACGGTTCCCGCCGATGGCTCGATCACTGTATAGTAACTAGCGCCGCGAGGCATACTGTGGTCAATGCCTCGGTCTTAAATCATAATGTATATTGGTCAGATCATTATCCTTTGTTAATTGAGTGTAATATAAATAAAATCTTGTCAAAAGTTGTCACCTCAACATCAACTTATAATAAAGTTAAATGGGGTGAAAGAGATAATGACCAAATAAAGAGATATTTTGACGCATGTAATAGTAGGTTACGTCTAATAGATTTTCCTGCAGATTTTTCTAAATGTGGCGACAAAACATGTTCTAATATCGACCATAGAACAATACTAACGTCAATGTACCATGATATTATATGTGTTTTAAAAGAATCAGCAGAGAGTACTTATAGGGAGAAAAAGCGTAAAAGACATAAATGTATAACTGGTTGGAATAAACATGTGAGTGTTGCTCACAGGGAGGCTCGGTTTTGGTATCAGTCTTGGTTACAATATGGTAAACCCAATTACGGTTTTATTCATGATAAAATGTGTGACTCTAAAAAACTGTTTAAAGCTAAATTAAAATATTGTCAAAACAATGAGCAACAAATTAAGATGGACATTATCGCTCAAAATCATACTGAAAAATGCTTTAGTAAATTTTGGAAAAATACCAATAAATTGAACCCGAAACCGAGTCTACCGGCGAGTGTAGCCGGTATGTACGAACCGACCGACATAGCAAATGCCTTCCGGAAGCACTTCAAAGTGGAGTCCCCTCTCCCTCAGGAGTCTAGGGTGTTCGATGCTGGATGTCGTGTCGAGGATTTGTCTGTCAGGTTTTCAGCGCGAGAGGTCGCCTCCATAATTAAAAACATGGTCAGAGGTAAGTCTCCTGGTCACGATGATCTCAGCATCGAGCATCTAAAGTATGCGGGAGTCCATTTGCCGCGAGTTCTGTCTATGTTCTTTAATCTTTGCATAAGTCACTGTTACTTGCCGGAAGAGTTGATGTTCACAGTTGTAGTGCCTATTATAAAAAATAAAACTGGGGATGCCTCAGATTTGTCCAATTATAGGCCTATATCTTTAGCCACGGTTATAGCTAAAGTGCTGGATAGTCTGCTTGATAGAAGATTAGGTGAGCACATTGAGCTTCACGATGCACAGTTTGGTTTCAAACCAGGTCTGTCCACAGAGAGTGCTATCTTCTGTCTCAAGCAGACTGTGCAGTACTATACAGCTAGAAAAACCCCGGTTTATGCTTGTTTTTTGGACTTATCGAAGGCATTCGATTTGGTGTCGTACAATTTATTATGGAATAAGCTGCATTGTGAAACTAATGTGCCCACTGAAATCATATCCATATTTAAATATTGGTATGATAATCAGAATAATTGTGTTAAGTGGGCTGGCTCGCGGTCCGACATGTATGGGTTGCAGTGTGGGGTGAGACAGGGAGGGTTGAGCTCGCCCAAGCTCTTCAACCTATACATGAACGGGCTGATCGGGGAGCTCAGCAGCACATATATAGGATGCCATGTAGGTGGCGTGTGTGTAAACAACATTAGTTATGCTGACGATATGGTGCTGCTGAGCCCGTCGATTGGAGCATTAAGAAGACTTCTACACATGTGTGAAGAGTATGCGGTGGCTCATGGGCTTAGATACAACTCGCTTAAAAGTGAGTTTATGTTGTTTCAAGCTGGTGCGGCCGGGAGTCAGCGGAATGTACCATCTGTTACTCTCGGAGGCTCACAACTAAAAAGAGTTCACCAATTTAAGTATCTGGGTCACTGGGTCACTGACAGCCTGTCAGACTCTGTGGATATTGAGAGGGAGCGTAGGGCTCTGTGTGTTCGCTGTAATATGTTGGCTCGTAGATTCGCACGTTGTAGTAAACCAGTCAAACTGACGCTTTATAAAGCATATTGTCAATCGTTCTACACGTGCGGCCTATGGGCTAGCTTTACGCAGCGGGCTTATAGTGCACTACGCGTCCAATACANAATGAAATGAAATGAAATGAAATGAAATGAAATGAAATGAAATGAAATGAAATGAAATGAAATGAAATGAAATGAAATGAAATGAAATGAAATGAAATGAAATGAAATGAAATGAAATGAAATGAAATGAAATGAAATGAAATGAAATGAAATGAAATGAAATGAAATGAAATGAAATGAAATGAAATGAAATGAAATGAAATGAAATGAAATGAAATGAAATGAAATGAAATGAAATGAAATATATTTATTTGCTTCAATCTTGAGTAATACAGTAAGGTGTTCTTAAAATGGTTTGTTCGTCAAAATCTACTTATATAAAAGCATGCAAACATTTTACATAATAATTTTATAATATATAATATTCAATTTAATACATTAATATCATTTTCATTTTACATTTAGGTAGGTATTAATATTCAATTCAATAAATTAATATAATTTACATTTAACATATACAATATTTTATTTAATTCATTAATATAATTCTAGTCATTACTTAGTTTTGTCAAGAAAATCTCTGACTGAATAAAAACAATTTTCTACTAAGTATTCATGTAGACGTCTTTTGAAAAGTGGTCCATTTAACTGTCTAAGATTATCAGGCAGGGAATTAAATATTTTGACAGCCATTGAGCACACATTATTATTTGCTAAGCTTAATCTATAATTAGGTATTACTAGTTTATTTGCTGGTCTTAATTTGAGCTTCGCTCGTTATGGTAATTATTGGGGAATTCTCATCTCTTCTAACGTATACATTTCCGTAGGCGGTCCAGCAGAAAGTGAACGTCGTTGATTTCACAAGGTCCCGCGCTAGAAAATACAAGCGTGAGGCCTTTTGTTGTTCGGGTCAATTGCTCCGAGACAAATATGGGGGTCTCTTCTTGTGTGACGAATCCAAGGTGTTTCGCCCGAAGTTTGGTTTTGTTGCGGATGTTATAGGTCTTGCAGCTCTGTAGTAATTCACTCTTCAGGGTAGTGGACGTTGTTTCAACAACAATAGGGGTATTAACTACATTGTCTTTTTTGCCACGTACTCTGTAGATGTCGGCCACGTCGGATTTGGTAAGGGCAGCGCCCACTGAGGAGGACAAGCAGGTCACCATCTTGATTAAGTCTTCTTTTGTTTCTTTCTCTTTCTTCGGCACATTCTTAATTTCAAAATTAGCTTTTCTTGAGTGTTTTAGCATGTTTTCGAGTTTGTCCTCGAGGGCCGTGATGTGTTTGGCGTCCTCCTTTTTTTGTAGTTCTAAGGTTTCAATTCTTTTTTGTAGTTCTAGATTTTGTCTGGACAGGAATTCAATCGAGCTTTCTATCTTTATGTTAGTGTCCTGGATTTGTTTTAGAGTGGGATTGATCTTTTCGAATTCCTGCCGCTGGGTAGCAAGAAGTGTTGCGAACATTTCCCTCATTTCTTCTCTAAGTGCAGAAATGTCGTTATTCCCGGGCTCGTGCTGAGTGTCCGTGTGCACTGGAGGGCTGTGGTCTTCCTTTCTCTTCTTAGCAGCACGGTTGGAGACGTAGTTCGGTGGGGTTATATTTATATCGCGCGGAGGCGATACATTTAAGTTTGATTCGGATAATGACTTATTCATTTCGTATGTTTGTTCACTGTTTTACGTAAGACGTGTTAGCAGGACGTGGATTGGGTCTAATTATTAGGTAGATAAGGTTGATTTTGGCGCACAATGTTCACTTAAGTCAGATGCCGCACAAGCCGTCCGTAGCACAACACGTAGCATACAGTCCGTAGTACCAGATCCGTAGCGCGCAATCACTGTTTCGTAGCGCCTCGTAGCAAACACGTTGAGATGGTGGGTGGGACCGCGCGCCGTGACGTATCGGACTGAGCGAGTCGAAAAATGGCAACTCACTCTGTCGCACTTGAGGTACGCGGGGGACGAGGTAGCCGCTGCTGTCGCACGGATCGGAATTTTTGTTGAGTATTTGCAGATGGTTTCAAACAAGATTAGAATCTATAAACTGTTATGTAAGGAATATTTTAGTTGCACAAAATTTTTTGTATTTTTTAATAAAAACTGCGACGCGTCTGCTCGCGCCAAGGCCCGAGAGCGAAGAGGAGAAGGACACCAGGTAACTGTCTCAGAAGGACACCAGGTATCCACCTCAGAAGGACAACAGGTATCCACCTCAGAAGGACAAC